ATAACAATCAAAAGCTTCTTTTAGTTATGTGTGTGTGTCTTCTATACAACACCACATTTCTAAATATGTATATATACAATAAATATAAAATATATATGCTAGTTGTTTTTTCCAAAGCGTTTCTCAACAGATATAACTGCATTTTTATTTTATTCATTTAATTAAAAAACAAAAGAAACAACTTGAATATAAAAATATTTCACTTTGTACTAGTCTTCGAAGTGTATAACACTTTTTTTCTGTATGTAACAAAAACAATACTGATAAAAGGTAAATAAGATATTAAAAAAATAACTCGTTTGGTAACCAATTAATACAATAATAATAATAGGAAATATGCGATTAATTTTGTATATATTATAATATGTACACACAGGAAGGGTTGTGGCTTATCACTATTCAGGCAGATACTGTTTCGTATCTATTAAATCTCGTCTTTCTCATACAAAAATCATTCTGTCAAGCAGCCCAAAGAAGCAGGGCGGAGTTAATACAAAAAGAATAAAATAGTTCTTCGAAAATGGTATTAGAAATTTTAAAATCAAATATGAAGAAAAATGGCAGTGTCTCTTTAGAAAAATAGATAAGTGTTAATTATGCAACTTTAAATGTTGAATATCGAATTATAAAAACTGCACAAAACACGTAAGGTAATAAACATAAAAAAAAATTTTTTTCGATTTAACTTGACTGATAACCCATATAAATTGTTTTACCAGTTGAATACAACGTTTAAGTTTTCTAATAACGTTAAAAAATAGTAGCACATTTTTTAAATTTGTTATATTTTTTTTCCAGAATGAAAAAGTGACCACAAGGAATAGATCCTAAAAGGATTGTTACTTATACTTCTAGGATAAATAGGTACTAAGTTCTAAAAACCAGAAGATATTATATTACTAAGTTAATTAGCTTTTCAGAAAAAGAAAATTGTAAAAATTGATATGGAACTAATGTCGCCTATTTCAAAAAAGTCTGAAGTCTTTAATGGTATAAATATTGTTACTATATCATAAACAGAAGGTAGATTAAGGTAACTAAATGAAGGACATGAAATGAAACTTTTAGAATTTTAGTATTTTGTTAGTAATTATTTATCCTAAAAATACAAGAATCCTATTCAACTTGTTTACAGCCCTAAACTTTAAGTTTTTTTATCAAAATACTAATTTTTCTTTTTTAGTCAAATAATCCATAAATTATAGTCCTTCATCGACCCAGCAAAATATTGCTTTCTTTACAATCACACTTATAAATTCTAGTACAATTAGAAGATTTTTAATGGTCACGCTACCTACATTTTTGCTCAGTCTTTTCGGAATATTTATTAAATTTGTGACGTTAATCAAGCCATACTAACTAATAACCAGTAAATTTCCATATTATACAGTTTATACGACAATAAAAGCATAGCTTGAAATAGCAAACAAAGCATTTCACTGAGTTTATTTAATTTAATTTTTTCGAGCAGATAATTACTCAAAACCGGAGATGCCTTTAAAAGAATGCACTGTTTTATTGATTTTAAATTTGAATTTTTTGCGCAGTTAAATATAAGAAAGATTAAGAGCTTTCATGCGATTGAAAGGGCAGATTTTTCAGTTATTACTCATTTTAAATGCCTAAATTCCAAAAAAAATTCTTCTTAACGTCACAATTTCACTCGCTTTCCATTTAAATTTAAAACTACACAAGTATCAATAAACTTTTTGATAAAGATGGTAATCTACATGTGGTCCACGAAATAGACAGTAGAATTTCTTAAAGTTTAAAGTTTTCAAACATAAAATAGTGCGTGCGACATCTAAATGGAAGCAATTCTTTTTGTAATCGTTTCTCTTCGAGGAAGAAAACAGATTATTAATAATCAGTTTGGGTGATGGGACGAGTACGACTTACTGTAACCGGGTTTGTTCAGTTCCAGCGAATTTGGATCTGTTATTTCTAAAATTTTTCCTCGCCCAGCTGTCGAAGGATGGCAATGACGATAATAGACGAGAAGAAAAACGATCGCAAGTAAAAACGAAACAATTTGTGCCAAAGCGGCACCGTAGCGTAAGTAAGCATAGTTTTCCAAACTACTTTGAAAATACCTGAAACAAATCAATTGTTATTTACTCATTAAAAATAAAATTAAAATAATAAACGAACAAAAGTTTTAAGAATTTATACAAAAGCAAATATCGTTCTATAACAGCTGCAAATAATATTGGTGGAGTAATTTCGTAATTTTAAACTAAAACATACCACACGACCAATGCCCCCGTATTCTCCATCAGACATACAAGGTAATAAACCAGATATGCATAACGTGTGGGACCATCTCTTGGCGAGATGAAGGCAATGACGTAAGCGAAGCCCAAAGCCATAGAGAGCAGCAACTCTTCGCAATGACTGCTACAAGCTGATGTCTGGCTCAGAGCCAACCATATCGCCATAACACCCCAATGTAAGGCACACACCACTCCCATCCACCACGGGTAAATTGCTGCCAGCATACTGAGCGCCAACACCCTCGACACTAAAAGAACATCGAAGTGTTAAAAAGTTTTTATACAAAAGAAAACTTGTAAAAGTATACAATCTCCTTCAAAACTTTTTCTTTAGTGTGTTTTAATATAATTTGAAAGGCATTATTACAAATACCAAAGTTCTATTAAAAAAGTTTTTAAAAACATCCTAAAATTATAATACCACAATATTATACATTTATACCTAGTTCCTTCTTTAACTAACTGTATGAGTAACAAAATTATTTAGAGTATATAAAATATCTATTTCTAAATCTTTAGCTTCCAACTAATGTAAACTATACTTCAATCATTGTAAAAACATTCGGGCATCCAGCGTCCGCCCACTTTTAAAAACAACTTTCTGAAATTTAAACCAAATATTTATTAAAAAAGTCAACCAATTTGACGAAGAATTAATTGGAAAGACTGAAATGCTAGCAAACACATTTGTATTTTTTTACGATAGTTGAGTTTTTTTTAAATTTTTCCAATTTCCTCCTTAGCTTTTCCTCACGTTGAATATTGCGCTATTTAAAGAAAGCACTTAAGTATGTGTTTTCGCGTTGGAAAATAAAAATGCTGGGCTGTATAAACTGCAACCGTCAAACAGTGCCAAAAACACGTTTATAATTGGCACACAAACAGATTCGAATTACTTCAAGTATATTAAACTGTTCTACGTGATGTTTTCATTGACAAAAAAAAAGGTAAACAGAATTCAATACACAGTTAGAGCAAAAAACATTTACAAATCCGTAAAACAAAAAAGCTTATGAATACAAGGATACTCCAAAAATAAACCATTAACAATTTATTCTTGCCTAATATAAATAGCAGATGTTAAAAATTGGTATAGAAGTCTTAAAACTAATTAAATTAAAGAATATACCTGTACTCATAAAATGCCAACAAAATGCGACCATGGTTGCGCTCCACGAGACATTTTCCTTATCATCCCTCGAATACCGTACTGATCTGTGATAAGATGTCAACGACCAAGCTACAGAAACGACGGCCACTATTACAGTCCACGCTTGAAGAACGGCAATATCTGTTAAAAAAAATAAACCCTTAATGAGACGAAAATTTTTGTATGCAAAAACTCTGTTTAGTTAATTACTTTTTTCTTCATTAAAATAACAATTCTGAAGAAACCAATAAAAGATAAAATCCACCTTATGAGAAACTACATACATACATACATACATAAAAAACTGAAAATTAAATGTTTTCTTTTATAAATGGTAAACATTAAAAAAATATATTTATTTCTTGCATTACTGCCCACAATATCTATAAATACAACTTGAGACAGTTACTTAAACATGAAAATTCGCACGTTGTATAATAAAACTTTTTAAGCGTTTAAAACGATTGTAAAAACGAACATATTATTATTATTATTTGTCTATAAAACGCATCAATAAATACTTCATTTATTCAATAATTTAACTGCCTGTAAAATTTAACAAGCGTATCTTGTTTAAGACATGTACTCTCTGTCATAGTTAAAGAAAATTTGCGCATAACAATGTTTTTTATGACTTTATCCCAACCTTGACCTTAATTTAAATAAGTTGTACCCAATTCAATAGCAATATCAAGGACATTTCAGCTGTTTTTTCAACAATAATACTATTGTTTCTTTATATTAGTGACAGTAACTGTTCAATTTATATTTAAAGTTAGCTAAACCAGATGAGTCAATTTTAAAGAAATAAAAAGCATTACTTTTACGTCACTTCTATGAAAAGTAATTACATAACAAATATCTACCGTTATCGCTACATTTATCGCTTATTACTAATTAGCTTTAGATTTTCATAAATTTGTACGTTTACTAAACCCAGATCAATATCTGCAATTTTGTTGATTATGGGCACCCTCTATTACTTATTTCAAAGAAAAAAATAATTACCCTCTCTTATAATATTGTTTCCATCACTACTGTCCAACTGCATTAATAAGAACATGAGCTGTATCACAGCCTGGGGTGCGGAATGCAAAAAACAATGAAACAGTCTCAGAAGGGCTCCATTGGTATCTTCATCCAGCATCCGTCTAGATAAAGTCATACGCATATGTTCCATCCTGGCATATCTACTTTTGAGACCATAAATTAGAGTATCTATATACCTCAGTAGAGGTGATATTTGAAGCAACAAAAAAATTATCCTCACAACCCACTGGCATAATGAAACTTTTCCAAGTGATGCATCATCGTTGTCAATTATATACCTGCAATATACAAAAGAAGCTATAGTGGTAACCGTGTCTTGCTTCTACTTCGGGGGAGCTAGCCCCACATGGTAATCAAAAACATTCTTGCTACTGTATCTGAAAGCAAATCATCAACTTTTGTACATAGTAATATGTATTAAGACGTTATTACAATGAAATAAGTTATCAGATTATCACGAATGTTATTTCTATCACCGTTGAAAAATGTCGTGTTCATGAATAGTCGTGTTAAAGGAACAACAACCTGTATACACACCTGTAAGATACGCGACATTATGCGTGTCAAGGTAAATAAATTTGCAGCCATAAAAAGATAGTAAAACTTACCATCTCATATTAAAAGCCGTCAGGATAATTGCGGGCATAACAACAAATGTCAACGTTAGTGCAAAATACACCCCATAGCCGTTTACCGAGTAAAAATAAAGTAGAAAACAAGCCAATGTTAAATCAGCCACATATGAAAATATAGAGAAAATCACACATATCACATAAAACGTTCCGAAATAAACAGTGTCCGACAGTCTGTCTGGCGAATCATTATTTTTGTAATTTTCTATTCGTGCTGTTGAATGATCTTTTGAAAATCGCACAACAGTACAGTCCTCTGCCATTATTTCACTTCAGCATAAAAACGAATAACAAACACGGCGATACTTCACAATCAATCTTTCCATAATAAATTAGAACAACTTCGAATAAGCTGCACAGATAGCTAAAATCATAAAAACGTCTAACTGTTTATAATTTACATCATACCACCACTTCACAATTACGTTTGTCAGAAATTTTCGTTTAGCACCTCTTCAAACATCCTATAAACATTTTACATCTCACTTTATCTAATGTAAAATTAAACACCTTTTTGTATTTTATCTCTTTCTCATTTAAAAATCCAAGATCCATAGAAACGACGATGTCTAAAATGAAGCTCTCATTAAATGCTGTTAAATAATAAATTGATTAAAACTTATTTCTGCAATGTTATTAATTTGAAAAACAAAAATAATTTTATTATTACGTAAATGTGTTTATTTCTTTCTGTTTCTTATTTTATTTTATCTCAAATATTTTATACAGAAAATATTTTCTCTTTTAAATTTATATTTATAATTAGCTGTGATTGTTTTTATGCGCTACAAAGTAGAACAACTCGTCTAATTTTTGTAAATAAAGTATTAATTAATAATTTAGTATCGTTAAACTATTCTCCATATATTTGACACATCCATATTTCTATGGATGTGACCTATCACCTATTATCAGTGACCTATCGTCCGCCCCACTCCACTCCACTCTTTTTCCAGGCGTTATGTGTAAGTGATGTGTTTGTTTTATGTCAAGTTCTTAATAAAAATTAAATTAAACGAGTTAATTATATCAATAATTAAAATATTTGAAAACTAAATGAGGTAAACTCTCGACAGAAAAAAGAAGAAACTACTTAAGTTTATATTATTAGAAGAAACAAAGGTAAAAAATAATTTTTGTAATATAATTCTTATAATAATTACAAAATAATGTNATGCGTTATTTAAATTTTGATTGAAGTTGCTACTGTATTAGTTTTAATCCTCATTTTACCATACATACCCCCAGATATTAATTTTTCAAAATCTTATATGTAAGTGTAATGTATTAAATTGTAATGCATTTATTACACTATTTTAATTTTTTTATTATTATAGTGTTAAGCCTGCATTACCACTTGAAGGTAAATTAGCTTTAAATGAAAGATTAAATGATACTGTAAAATGGCATGAGGGTGAAATCCTAGGCCCAGAAGCATTTGCAGAATACAATGGAGAAATATACACAGGTGTTAATGGAGGAGATATTATTAAAATAATAGGTAATCATATTACTCCCATTGCAAAATTTGGCAAACCTTGTAAAGGTTTGTATCAAGAGAAAATATGTGGTAGACCTCTTGGAATGGTTTTTGACAAAAGTGGACTTTTGTATGTTGCTGATGCTTATTATGGAATTTTCAAAGTGGATGTTAAAACAGGTGAGAAATTATTAATTGCTTTAGTTTTTGTGGTTTTCTAGAGATTCTTAAGTATGTAGTAGAAAGCAAATAAAATTTGAGTATGTATTAAATTCAGTTACCATTATTTGTTACTGCATTATCTTTTTATCACACCCACAAATACATAACAGTGTGGTATTGTTGGATTAAAATTATCAAAGAAAACCTACATTTAAAAATACTGGATAATTCCATTGTTTTGAATATCTAATTGAAGAATCATTATCTACTTTATGTATCTGCTTCGTTGTTTTGTTGCACTGTAACTGGAATAATTATTAATTTTATTTTTTTTGTAAAGCTGTTTTACTAATTTTTATTTATTTTTTTTTGTGCATATCTTTTTTTGATATTTAATTTTATTTAACCTTTGAACTGAACAAATC